TACACATAATTATGATATTATACTTAGCATAGTTATTATAGTCATCAGAGTTGATTCTATCCAATCAAAATCACAAATAAAACTGAGAATAACATTTATTTCCATACATTTTGAAATTCAACGAGGCTAAAAAACCAACTGCATGCGTGATGGAATGTATACATGTCGATAGAAAAATTATGTCCTTTTAATGGATTTCTACCTATGTCTATTTCCATCAATTATGTCATAGCAATTTATCATCATCATAGGAAATACCAGAGACAACTGAGATTCTTCAGTGGAAAAACATTATATAGGTATACACAAGCGCAAAGAGCATCTTTGTAAAGTAAGCAAAATCTACAAGTTATTGTTGATACATCTATGGTTGATATGATAACCACGAAGGGTACTTCAATTCGAGAAGTTGTCTCATCAGGAATTATGTTTGTTTTAACAAAAAGAAATCCTCCTACCAGAAGAGCGGGAAATAGGTTGTAGAATAATGCGGTGGATGACAAATTATTTACAACGACTGTAGAATAATATAACAGTTGGCGTTATTTGTATTAACACATTTTCTGCTAACGTTTACAAAATACATATTATATCTGTTGCCGTCTGAAATTCATGTTTATATGATTCGAGTTATTTTAAACAATGCAATAATGCTTCATTTTCATCCTCCTAGTAAATATCTTAGAGCTTGAACGTGACTTTTTTTGTTATTCAACATTATGTATTGCGTAACTATTGGTTTGATTTGGACTGATCGATTTAATGTTGTGAATGCTTCCAGTAGAGTAATGATTTGACGATTTCCTGGAGATAAATTTCAAAAGAGTATAAATATCTGAGGGTGTTTTGGCCAATTAACTAAATAATTAGAGAAGGGACACGTGCTTCTCTAGGGTTATCCCCTTTGAAAAAAAAATACTACCTACTACATCTTTTCACCCCATTTAACGAATGCCGCGGTGACTTATTTTTAATCTACAGGGGCCATCTGAAACCTTGTTTGTAAATACTGCTGTCAAGGGCTTCTGCATGTCTGTAATGTGTCTAGTGGCAGTGCTCCGGTATTCCGGTACCAATATGTACACAGAAGTAGTTGATAATGTCGATGAAGGAGGTGTGAATATATTTGTACAGACTTTGATGAAAAATTATCCAGAGACCTGGGATTCAAAAATAACATTTTTCTTCGAAAGCAGATTATTGTACATTGATAATTCGCATCCCTTCAATTATTATTAATCGAGGGGTGGCTCATTATGGTAATATGGTGTACATCCTGCCAGTAATATATTACCAGTAGAGTATTATACTTCCAGTATTATCGGTATTACTGGTATTATCATGTAATATTTGGTAATATTTCATATGACAGGTATTATTGGTAATATCAGCTAATAATATCGGAATATTGGTAATATCTGCTTGTAATATAGTAATATGAGTAATATCTTCCAATAATATGGTAATATTAGTAATATCTGTCAATAATGGTAATTGGTAATAATTTATAGTAATATAGTATTATTGGTGATATTCCAAGTAATATTAGTATAACGCATCAAGTAATACATTGGTAGTATTCCTAGTAATATTATAAAAATGAGTATTACACGTTCTAATGTTCTATGAGTCAATTATACCAGACGTCCCAATGGAAAATAATCGAACGCCTCCTAGCGAGATTTTTGAAAGCTGTCTGTCAGGTGCAGCAACATGTTATTTTCCATCGCGAAGTATCTATACCTTGAGCTATGCCTACCTGATCTCTATGAATAGAATGAGTATCAAAATACCATTTCTTCATTCTGATTTATTGATGGTTCAGTATGTATTTGCATGAACTCAGTGTTTGAAGACTAATGGTTGAGTAATCGGCGACTAGGAACACCCAAACAACCACAAAGGTATTGAGGAATGTCTAACTATATTTCAGCAACTAATTTGCCGAATTGAGTAGACCCAAATAGTTATTTGCTTCACATGGGAGAAAATCACAAGATTCAAAGCTACCCAGGCAGTAAAAGTACACCTTCTATGCCTCTTAAGTGACATTAAAAAGCCATGTTTAATGTCATTTGGAGAAAATAACTATTTATTTTTATGTTGGCAATACCATGCAATACTGAGTATCATTCGAAATATGTCTGTCAGCTAAAATGGAATACTTTCTAGATCTATACTAAAGAATAGCAACTAATCTGAACTGATCAACAAAATAAACGTCCTATAGTCCAAAATATCCGCAAAATTCAAAATCGAATTATGAATCACAGTTGGCTAACCCAATCTTTCAGTTACTCGTTAGAGCAATGTGAGACTACACAAATTCCAGATGAACGGTCTCCAGGATAATTGGAGTTGGTAATATCAGTAATACTCACGGGATATTACTATAAACTAGGTGATATCTAATGATACCAATAATACTCAAGATATTACTAAATATTACTGATTTTTCAAAATAATACCAGATATTTCCAAGTAATGCCAAATATTACCAAATACTACCGAATATTACCGAATATTCCCAAATATTACCAAATATTACCAAATATTACTAAATATTAACAAATATTACCAAATATTACCAAATATTACCAAATATTACCAAATATCACCAAATATTACCAAATATTACCAAATATTACCAAATATTACCAAATATTACCAAATATTACCAAATATTACCAAATATTCGGGAATGTTACGAAATATTTCCAATATCCCCTTCCAAATAATGGTTAGGAACCTGATGAACCACATTAATTATACTATAGTTCATACAGGTAACCTCCCTTATCACTATCATTAATTCAACTCCTATCAGTAGGAATGTCTACTTATACATATTTCGACAATTGAACTGAGGTCGAATTTTAAATCGATTCACTCATAGATCAAAATACTTTCTTGGACCATGAACCATCATGCTCGAAAAAAAAAATCATGAAAGTATTTGAAGTTTATTTTGTTCATCAGTTTAGTTGTCGAAATATAGAGACATTTCTGCTGATGATAGTTGAATTGATGATAGTGGTGAGTGAGGTTACCTGTATACATTAGTAATTAACGAGGTAATTAATGTCATTGATCAGGTACCCATCATTATTTGGAAGGTAATATTGGTAGTATATCGTGCATGATATCTGGTAATATCTGGTAATATTTGGTGATATTTGGTAATATTTGGTAATATTTGGTCATATTTGGTAATATTCGGTAATATTTGGTAATATTTGATAATATTTGGTAAAATTTGGTCTTATTTGGTAATATTTGTTAATATTTCACATAATCAGTAATATTTAGTAATATCTTGAGTATTATTAGTATTATGGTAATATCCCCTAAATATTACTGATATTACCTGATTTGGTAATATGGTGTACAAAATGTAGGCAAGTGAGCCACCCCTCGTTATTAATATACCAAAAACTCAGGCATATACAGGGTGGCCATTTGAAAACGATACTGAGACTCTGTAGGTCGACAAATTATAAAAAAACACCGGAACACTTCGACTTGAAAAATATTTTCACCGCTGCGGCGTTGCCGCTTCTATCGAGAAGTAGCGACAACTATGTCATTTCAAACGAAATGTCCTGTAATTTGTTTTCGTATTCATTACTCAATTGTCTTTCCCTCAATTTCAATAAAACGTTGTGGTTTTATTAATATTAATATGGAGCTTGTTCTGGTGCTATTAGATTCGAAATAAAATTTCCAGTGGCACCATTGTGGGTAAATTTTTCGATATTTATGGTGAATGTCATTGTACGCCACCAGTTTTTCTGAGTTTCATATTTTTATTAGATTGAACTATTGAAATAACATTTTTTTCATCCTGTTTGTAATTTTTGAATCATGCCTAATTTTTGGGGAGACAATAAAAATTCGATTTGACTCCAAACTTTGAGTAGGCGTGTTTTCAAGACTTCCATTGAGATTACTCAATAACCCCATTAAATTTAGAATCATTTAGAAATTTTGGGGTTTTCTTAGTCCAAAACCATACTGATTTTTGGCACCATGGAAGCGTACACAGGGAAGTTATAAATAATGACAATTAATACTTCCAACTTTAACATCCTGTATCTCAAAAAAGGAGCAAGTTAGAACACATGTTTATATGAACTTTATTTGCAAGTATGTCACAAAGAAACACCCGAGGAAACACCCTTTGAATTTTTTGGTGTTATTTAGATACACTCTTTATATTGCGTAACAATTGGTTTGATTTGGACTGATCGATATAATGATATAATGTTGTGAATGCTTCCAGTAGAGTAATGATTTGACGATTACCTGAAGATAAAGTAACTTTTCCGCATGATTTTTCGTTTTGAAAGTATACAATTTCACTTTTCCGCATTATTTTCACTTTTCCACACGATTTCGAAGGAAATACCTGGAGACATGTGGTGATAACTGTTGGCATCAGAACGTAAACATAACCAATCAAATTTAATTAAGAAACGACGTTCTTCAAGATGATGCGGCATCTGCTATATTACAGCATGCAACAAACACAAATTGCATTTTCAATTTCAATATTTACCATCGTAAATGTTTTAGTGATTGTTATTTAATTGTTCTTCAAATAAGTTTCCTATTATATCGATGGAAAAAAGATTTATTTCATTATGTTTCAGTGCATGAAAATATCGTGCGGAAAATTTACTTTACCGCACCAGTGCTAAAAAGTTACCATTTTTGTTTTGTTGAAAACAAGGATATTTAGGACTAACTAAGTGACCCATTCTGTCTTATGTGTCATTCATTATGTCAATATGGACAAAAACACTCGTAGGAAAAACTCTGTACCTAACTCTTGCGGAAAATATCTTTTCCGCCCTTGACGACTTGATGCTCGAACTCCGCTCCGCGTCTTCGTGCAACTGCAGTCGCGTGCGGAAAAGTAATACTTTCTGCATTTGTTGGGTGAATTACTAATTCAGACAGTAATGAGCTATTGGTTTAATGAAAGGAATACTTCTCACCCCTGTCCAATGCTGATAGAAAAGATCTGGACTCCTCAAGAACCGGGACAACATAATTATCACTCAAAATATATCAGCGCTAAACACTATTTTACACGAGATAAAGCAGTGCTAGTGCTAGTGCTAGTGCCCACCATGTCACCGTGTAGTATAAGCTAGAGCTAGATGCTCGTATCGTTCCGTTCCGTTCGAGTAGATTGGCAACACTAGCGTTCTTCTCTATTGGGTGTTGTTTCAAAAGAAGCGCGCGACTTGCTGGCTTACTGCTAAGCAAACGTGGTGTGCATAAATCAGTGGTGGTCTACGAATTTTTGCACGGTCGAAAATATGGGTAGGTTGCGTTGTTCGGCCCAATTTTCGATTCACCCAATTTTCGATTGGCCCAATTTTCGATTCGCCTAATTTTCGATTCATCCAATTTTTGATTCGTCCACCATCTCCGAATATACCCGAACGATGTGTTGTTGCCAAATCTGAATGATGAATCATTCTGGGTTTATCATTATTGAATATTCAAATTTTTTGATACACATAATATGTATGTATGGTACATATTTCGATTTGCCCAATTTTCGATTTGCCCAATTTTCGATTCGCCCAATTTTCCATTCCCCCAATATTCGATTAGCCCAATTTTCGATTCGCCCCAAATTTGATTCACCCAAATTTCGATCGACCCGAATTTCGACGAAATATAAGGAAGGAATACAGTGAGTGCAAAAAAATACATTTTTTTACAAATCAATGCAAGTTCCTAAGAACATTTGAGATAACGAGAGAGAAAAATAAATAATGTATACAAATCGGAGTTGATATTTGGCAATACTTCACAAATTTAGTGCAAGTATAATCTTTGACAGAAATTATCATTTATATGTACAATGAATAGATGTTTCGGTATTTGCTTTTGTGAATTTAATAAAATATTTAATGAAATAGTTATTAATAGAAATAAACATCAATATTGAGGTTGACTGCCGAGGCTGAATTCATAGCCGAGCGTAGCGAGGCTAGGAATCCAGCTAAGGCAGTCAATCTACTTTGCTGCCGAGTTGAACATTAACATTAATTTTTTCTCCGATTGTTCATGATGATATATATCTCTTTATTTTTCCTGTAGTGTTCAATTAAAATAAAATTTGATAGAAATTGCCGTTGTTGGAATGGTTGGTTGCTATGGAAATGTCCATAATAATTATAGTTTGACAATTCATGAAATGTCTGACAGTTGTGCGAAAAAATATGGGTATATTTGAATTATTATATAATGGACAGTGATAGCGACCTGGAAGTACTTACACCTCCAGAAATGAGGGAGGTGGCAAAAAATATGGAGTTGAATTTGTTGCCGGAGAAGTCTCGGATGAAATATGAAGGAAATTATAACCGATTTATGGATTATTAATTTTGCTGATACATATCAATCAGCAAAGTAACCACTTTGCTGATTGATATGTGTCAGCAAAATTAATATTTGCTGCCAATCGGAGAAAAAATATTTTTTTCTGCATAAGGAAGGAGACTACCTTTTCCAAACTACCTAACCTAACCTACCTTACCTAACCTAACCTCCCTAACTCGGCCTAAATGGACATTCTTCCTAGAAAGTATATTTTTCGCATACTTAATTATTTGAGAGAACAAAAGATACTTCGTTTTTTAAAACAATCTAACCTTACTCGCCCTTAGTGAATAATCTAACCTCACTCTGCCTAAATGAACCTTCCTAAAAAGTATATTTTTCGGAAAATTACTTGAAAGAACAAATGAGACCCCTTTGTTTAAATAATCTAACTTGACTCGTTCAAATGAATCGTCATCCTAGAATGTATATTCCTTTTTCAACAATCGAAAATTGGGTGAATCGATAATTGGGTGAATCAAAAATTGGGTGATTCGAAAATTGGGGGAATCGAAATCTGGGTGAATAAAAAATTGGGCGAATCGAAAATTGGGTGAAACGAAATGTTGGCCCAATGACATATTTGAATGTGGAATGATTGTTGATAATACCCGTTTCATTGAATCCGAGAAAATGTGGCATTATTTGACAACAACGCATCTTTCGGGTATGTTCGGAGACGATGGGTGAATCGAAAATTGAGTGAATCTAAAATTGGGTGAATCTAAAATTGGGCGAATCGAAAATTGGCTCAAATGAGACGTTCCCGAAAATATAAACATCATACATCTAGGGACAGAAATGCTCTCGAGATACAAATCGAACCTTAGGAAAAATAGCATTCCTCGTAGCATTCTGTCCTGAAGTGTGTATACTATTTTTTTTTCTACAATCGTGCGTGATATCCCCCCCGCACGCAATTTAGTTTAGAAAGGGTCATTTTCTCGCGACAGTGCAAGGAAATTTTCTCCACACCCTATAGCAGGATTTTTGTCCCACACTAGTGCGGGAAAAATATTGATATGATATTTTCGCAAAATATAAGTGGTTGGTGATGAAATATGAAAGTTCAAGCTTGTTGTTGCAATATCAGAAGCATCCATCAAATAGCCTTACTCGTTGTTCAAATGGAGAAATATTGAGAAATAAAAATGCATTTTTCTGTAACGGGAAGAATGTTCGAAAAATTACATTTGACATAAAGATTGCACTTGTTTTGAGCTGTTCAACTTATGTTAAATATACAAGGTGTTCCAGTTGAAAAAACGAAGTTGCTGTGACAAATCCGAAATGCCTTGATGCCTCAATATTATCATCAATCTGAATTGTTGTTGGAATGGAATTTTTACATGCGAAATCCTGTGGATGCTCTGGCATATATACAATGTGTTGATTAATATAGTTCTTCACTGTACCAGCTCCAGTGTATTGTAGGGAGAGTACCTATATATACCATTATTTTTTAGATTTCTGTTTAATTTACATAATATAGCTGACATAATCAACTTGAAGTTGCAAATTACTCTCAGATACCATCAAATATATTCTTTACAAAGTCAATTGAGGCAGTTTGATCAGAAGAGAATCGCCGCGGTGAAAAGTTCATACAGGGTGAGTCATGAGGAACTGTAGATACTCCTACCACGAATAGGAAACCCTGAGGGTAATACCGAATGTCCATCAGAAAGTGTCTTCTACACTTATTTTCCAATATATAGGGTGAATTATGAGATTCGGCAAAAACATCTTTTGGTCATAACTTTCCGACAGCTTCTCCAATTCGTCTGATTTTTTCATGACTATACCTACTTTATATTTCTTTCCTAATATTATCTACAGAAATAGAGAAAATATACTAGTTTCATAATATTCGCACTATACTACTTTCAACAGAAAGATCTACATAAGGAACCTGAAATTATTGAGTATGTGGCGACTCTGGTCCAACCCACGATATCCAATTTAAAAAATGGCAAAGAACAAAACACTGTCCGAAGCAGCAGATAAACACCATCAACTATAAATAACCTCATCTCAAAATACAGTCCCAAAAAATAATAAAAAACTAAAGCAGAGTTCTCGCCTCCATACGGTTTTGTATTATTTTTAAAGAATTCAAATGAGTTTCAACCACTATACACTCACACGCATAAGTTATAGTATAGGTGGGACAATAAAGGGTTGAAAGAACCAATTCATTTACAATTTGGTTCAAGACACCTCAATGATCGAGCTCATACTGAAAAGAAAATGTTTCCTTCGAGGGAAATCACAATTTTCACTTGTAATACCACTAGAGGTCAAATTATTTCCGGAAATTTTTTCGAGCTCATGGATATTTGGAAAATTAGTCGAAGACGAGGGATAATTTTCGAAATATTCACTATTTTACGTCGCGTCAAAATATTATTCTATTAGAACGTCATAAAAAATCTCCGATTTCATATATGCTGGTTGGTAGGTACCCACGAGAAAAAAAAATCCAGTAAAATACATACGTTGCTATATGGTAATTTGTCATAAAACCCCGATTTAACTGTACAAAAATCACTGGTGTGGAATTTTAAACAACATTTTATAATCATCACTGGGTGCGTACCTATAGTGATTTCATTCTGACGTATATCAACGATGTAATAGGTACACATTGAAATATGGTCATTTATATTCTAACCAAATATCACCTTGATCTTTTCTCTCAAGTCCGCAACAATTTCTTGAAATCCTTCCAGCCATCTAGTTAATAAGTCTTTTAAGTTGTTTCGAGACAGTGTTTTGAATGGCAAATCAGCCATTACGTCACTTCTATTTCGGCTTTTGCAATGTCCCCGCTTTGCATGCATAAATAATTATCATATTTATGGTATTTTTAGTGCTTATACACAGAATGGGATATCACCATGATATAATTCAAGGTTATATGTATTAATAGTGTCAAAATTATTCGCGGTGACCATACTGTATGTATAAATTGGAAAAAATAGCATTCTACTATTCTATACTTCTGAGCAGCTATTGCATCCTTTTCACCTGCCAAAGAAATATTTCTAGCAAGATTTTTGTATGAGAAATAATTAGTTTCTATAAATACAAACAACTCAATAAACTATTCTAGGAGTTAGAGACAGAAAGCGGTTTCAAGAGGAACATAAGGCACTTGAAACAAGAGGAAGTTACAAAAGATTCACAGATGTTAGTATGCTTGAGACGATGGTGTGTTGGTTCTGATAAAAATTCCCTTTCGGGATTCTTAATCAGGTATAAAAGGCGAACATTGTGCAAGGTGAAAATGTAATTTTGTTTGAAAAATTGACCTTTTTTTTCTGTGACGGGAAAAAAGTTTGGCATTTCATCTCTGTTGGCAGGTTATAAAATGTCACTTTTCATAAATTACTTTTTTCCCGAGATATATATCACATATATATAGACTGTTGATGGCTTTTGTTGTGCTATAGTTCCGAAAAATGAGTGAATATTACCGTCTCCGAGAAAGAACTGCAAGTTCTTTTATCTTCCATTCGACTTCGCGGTTACGTATATTACTAAACAACCACTGAATTCGCAATTTTTTAAAATCAAATCACTAAATTAGACTGACAGAAGTGTCATCAGATATTTGATTACTTCAAAAGAATGATAAAGATGTCTACAA